CCGCCCAGACCGAGTAATCGCCCTAAAATCGGCCGCCTAGCATAGATGTTAATCGCCGCCCAAACATTTTAAGAAAGTTGTGTTTTTGTACTTCGTATTTTTTTTTACCACCTACTCTTTCTTGTCTTCGCAAAACTGGCGTGCCTCTCTTCGCCCTAATTAGATGCTTTCTTCTGTGCCATGGAAGGGCGGCCATAGTAATGAGTGCTGAGTCATTTTCTCTTCGAGGTAAGGGTCAAATTAGTAGTCGAAGTTGCATAAAAAGGATCAAATAAGTCCTTATTGTCCGGCCGTTGCCATTTGAGGCGGTTTCCGGTGGAATTTGTTGATGAATTTTTTTGAGCATCTTATTCATTATGTCTAGTTCACTCATACCAAATTTCAGCTAAAACATCAATCGGGAAGGCATTCAAATGAACTCCTGAAGATAACTGCGCTTTTAACTGTGCAGTTAACTTCAAGAGTTCATTTGAATGCCTTACCAGTTGAATTTTTACCTAAAATTCAATATAAGTAAACTAGACTTAATGAATAAGATTCTCAAAAAATTTCGTCAAAAAATTACACCGGGAACCGTCTCAAATGACGACGGCCGAATAGAGCCTCCTATATAAGGACTTATTTGACCCTTTTTATACGACTTCGAGTACCAATCTGACCCTTGCCTCTTTTCTCTTCCATTTCCTGATTTCCTTCTTCTTTGAGTACTGAATCAGCTTCTCAGCCTTCTCCACTCTGTCCAGCAGTCCAGGTAAATGTATTTTCATTGTGTTATTGTAGTTATTAAGATAGTTCAAAAATATGTGCTTAGTTGATAATTTGTTACTACATGTTCAAACCTTTGTATTTCTAATGTCCTGTTTTTTTGGGATAAACGGAAATATTTTAATATTTCTATTTGTTGGTATAGTCTAAGTTTATGTGAGCTCAATTAAGCTCAATCGCAGTGGGAAAAAACATAGGTGTATGACCGACATATTTTTTGTACAGGGATAGAAGCAAATGATAAACTCTTCTTGGTTTGCAACTTTATTAACTCCTCCAAACGAGAAATTCTTCTGATTGATTGCATTGATTATTGACTAATATTACACTAGAAAGTCATCATTCATCTAAAAAAGCCGGTTGCATTATGTTCCACCGAGACTAAGACATGGACATTGAGTTAATACTCCAGTGTCCAGAAGGATACTCATTGTTGGATATGGTGTTCTAAATCCTGATCTTGTATAGGGGACATGGGGCCACAATCCTCATATAAATTGACAAATTTATAGCCTAATATTGATAGGAACCTGGAATGCATATATGTTGTATGATAAAATTCCTCAAGGAAGCAATGCAAAATTTAACTAGTACGTAGTAAATTATTTCAAATTTCAGTTACTCTTTTTAGTTCTTACTGTTTTTCATTACCTTCTTTATTCATAGTTGATAGTAATGTTGTAGCCATAAAGGATAAACTGAAGTAGAAGTGTAAAACTCAGTCCAACTATTGTAACCGGTCTACTTGCTCCAACTGCTTCATTTGCCTTTCATCTACTATGCAATTTGTTACCTAATTGAGCCAGACAATTATGTAATTAATTGATAAGCAGAATAGTTACCTATATTTTATATAGGTAATTATGATTATCTGTACAAAAATTCAAAGACGAAACAGGTAAAAAACCCAATTTGAGCAAAATCACATAAAGGCGTCAAAGATGAAGAAACGGGAGTCAACAATAAAAAAGGGCTGAGAACCGATACCTCGGGGTCAACTATTGGCATAAAAAAGGAGCGAAAAATGGAGTATTACACTGCAGGGGAGAACCGGCGCCAGTCTGACCTGAAAACCGGCACCGGTTGCATTTAAGTTGAATTACTACCGGTTGGCCGAAGCATAACCGGCGCCGGTCCACCACTATAACCGGCGTCGGTTATGACATTTTTCGTTGTATCCGCTGCGCCGAAGTAAAACCTACGCCGATAATGCCTAAAACCGGCGCCGGTTAATCCCGATTCTGCACAAAACAGGGAGACGTGCAGCAATATCCTGATGGGAAAAACCCACTTTCCTTATGATCTGAGCAAATATTTCATCCATGCCTAATTGTTGGGCTTGAATAGACTAAAAGATGACAATCTTTAGCCTATATAAAGCCCCCAATTCATCAAACAAAAGCATCATTCCATTCTTGAAGATTAAATTTCAGTTTTTATATTTCCTTTTTGCATTTTCTTGAAGTGTTGGAGAAGAAGCCATTTCTCTCCTCTACAATTGGTTCTAGGTATTATTTCTTGTATGTTATTGTATTTCATTGTTCTTAGTTACACTTTTGTAATTAATATGAGCATTAGAGGCTAAGTTCTTAGCTAAGGCTAGGGATGAACTTCTATGCCCGTTAGGCGTTTGATAAAAGTTCTAAACCAATAAATTGTAATTTATCCTTTATATTTTGATTGTTTATGACTATGGTGTACAACATAGAAGTATGTTAAATTTAGTTTATACTTGCAATTAACGTTGAAGTCTAAATTATGAACATTAAAGGATAAACATATATATTATTGAGAGTAGAAATATATCCGGTATTATATGATACGGGTGTGATGTCTTGATATTCAACGGGGTTTTCGATAGATGAATGTAAGCCGTAACGGGACTTACACGCAGGGGCGGAGCCAGAAAAGTGTGTGAGGGGGTCGAAGTTTAATTTACACAGTATAAAAATGGTGGATAGTTATTATACAATAATTGAATTAAATGTTTCATAAGTAGCTAAGATAAAATCATAAATGGTAGTTTAATGAGTCTTTTTTCAGTTAATGTATTGATATATATGTAATGTACATTGTTATTCACACGACTAATGACTGAATAAGGTATTTTATTTTTAAGTTTAAGAATATATAATCAACGTCACACATCAAATTTTGCTTATTTCAAGTTAAGATAATGCTGATTTTTCCAGAAGTCATAACTTTTTACTCGTAATGAGTTATGAGACCCATAATATATCAAAACGAAGCTATTTCAGAGTTCTACATTCTTGAACTTTCAGCGGGGTCGGCTGACCACCCTGACCCCCCCTTGACTCCACCCCTACTTACACGTAACGAAAACCACGCTCTCGCTGCCTTAACCGGAGTTGAGAATATATTAGCGACATCGTATTCATAATTATTGGTAAAGAACTAATATTCAATCCTAATAAAGCATTTAAGTGATTCCCGAAGCCTTAGCCGTTGTTATCATTCATTTTAAACCCGAATTAATTAAAGTTGTTTCCTTGAATTAAAAGTGAAAAGCCAAAAATACAAAACACAAATCAAAATCCCTGCACTTTACTCATTTATTTATTTAAAAGTCATCTACTCTCGGACTAAATTAAACAACGTTTCCCTGTGGATTCGACCCGGTATTTTACCGGAATTTATTACTATATTGGCACTTGTACACTTACAAGTTTAGCCCGGTTATTAATCATAGTAATTTTTCCTTGAATTTCATTCAAAAAATTGAGAATCATGAAAACCATTAAATTGGTTTCCCTTTTCACTGGATCATCTCGTAAATACAACAAGCTTAGGACATACATTCTACTTTAAGGAAGCCATGAAAACTTCTTTGTTCCCAGATGATAGTAATGTTGTAGTATTACTGTTTTAGGAAATTAAATAGTTAACTTTTCATTTGCACCTGAAATGGTTTCAGAAAATAAACCTACTGTTTTAGTAAGTTTTTCCCCCTATTTTGTACGTATTAACCTATCACGTTGTACGGGTTTGTGACTCACTGTATGCATGAGCTACAATATATGCATTCATTCAGTCTACTCTTCTGCTGCTCCTGAATCTGATCTATGACTTCTTCAGTTTAAATTGATCCGTGACACTAAATCTAATTATTTATATGAGTTCTCTAAGAAGGATGAAGTTCACTCCATTAATCCTTAAATAGTTAAAGGTTTTTTATCTCTTATTGATTATTGATTATAGATTTTCAATGATCAATTAGAACTGTTTTGCATATCTCATCTGTACTTATAGATTATTTGTTTAATGTAGTATTTTTTACCAAGAATATTTATATTTTTTGGTACTATGTTGAAACCGAGTTGGCCGCCTAGTTGGCGACTAATCGGCGCCTAGTCTGCCTAGGCGCTAGGCGGTGCTTGGCCGCCCGACTAGTGCCTAGCGACTTTTAGAACATCGATCCTACCTAATCCACCCCACCCCTCACTCGTACCCCTTCCCTACCCTGACCCCTACCCCTTTACCCCCTACCACCTTCCCCTACCTCGACCTCACCCCTACCGCATTCCCCCCACCCTAGCCTTACCACCCTACCCCTTACCCCACCCCCTTACCCTACCCTGACCCTACCCCTTTACCCCATACCACATGCCCTTACCTCGACCCCACCCCGACGAGTAGGGTAGGTGTTAGGGGTATGAGTATGAGGGTATGAGTATGAGTATGAGTATGAGGAGTTGTAGGGGAGTAGGGGTAGAGAGTAAGGCCGTGTTAAGGGTAGGGGTAGGGGGTCAAAGGTGTGGAATTGGGAGTAAGGGTGTATGGTAGGGGTTAGGGTTGGGGTATGAGGTGGCCCCACATATTACATTATATACTTGTGTGTTTATATATGTATAGGGTTATTTTGGACATTTTAATGTAAAACGGTGTTTTAAATCCTTTGAAGTAAACATGAACTTACAATACTGCTTATTTTATGCGCCATTTATTAAGGCGAGTCTTAATAAACACCGTTTAGTAACCCGTGAAGTAAACGTGTCCTAAGACATTAGACATTACATCTTTTTGTACTTTTATTACGGAGTGTCTAGTAGTGGTAGAAGTAATGGAGCCAATTGATTTCATTTGCGAGCAACACCACATTCACGAAGGAGGTAATTTCAACCACATGGGTGATGGATAGTCTACCCGGGGGGTATCTTATCCGAGGGGTTATTGCAGGAATAACTAGAGAGAAGTCAGAGCAAAATAGGAGGAGAGAGAGTCGATATATTAAATGAACTCAGCGTGTCTTTACAAGGTGAATAGGGGCTGCTATTTATAGCAGCAATAAATGCGATGAGAGTACACGTGTCAGTAATCCGACGGCCGAGGGGTCACATCAGCCGGGTGGCACCGGCAGTGGTACGTTCACTGCATTGAATGCGGTTGGCGGATGTGACGTGGCATTAAATGCGGTGGTTGGCTGTCTCCAAAAGGAATCTTCGACGATTTGAGCATGTTTGGCCGAAGGCTCCTGGTGTGGCCGAGGGCTCCATGTGACCAAGGACCCCTGTGCGGCCGAAAGCCTTTTGTGGCCGAAGGCTTGGTTCAGCCGAAGGCTTCCCCTGGTGCCGAGGGCTCCACAGTGCCGAAGGCTCCCGTTTTCTGTCACTTCCTCCCAGCAGCTTCTTATGCCAGAAAGGCCATCCTGTGAGGTCTGGAGCTTTCGGCCAGGGAGGCCGAAGGCACCCCAGTATGTATTCTGGGCTATTTTGAGGCTTGGGCCGTCACAATTGGGCCTGAGTTGTTCTCTGGGCTCGACGAACTTGTGTAGGAGAAGCAGGAGTCTATGGGCCGGGGGTTCCTGGGCCATATACTCCATCAATGGGTTTGTTGGACGCTGCTCAATTCAAGTATGATTACTATTGCAGTCGGGGCGGAGCTTGAAGTAAAGGTAGTCAGTCGATCCCCTGAAAGTATGAGAGTATTGAGTTATAAAATACCTTCGATATATTATGACTCTCGCAATTCATACATTATAACTTCTTGAAATCAACACTATCTAAACCTAAAAATAAGGATGTTTTACTTGGACTGTAATTTGCTGGTTTGGTCTAATCTAGTCTGAACTGGTCTGGTCTGGTAATGTCTGGTTTCTTTGTTTTTTATAACTATATAAGTCTGGTCTGGTCTGGTCTGCTCTGGTTTAATTTGGCCTGGGATAGATTACAGTCTAAGTAAAAACATCCTAAGTAATTCTATTTCATGCGTAATATTGATTATATTCTCAAATTTGAAAAATAACTGATGGAGTATATGGTCCAGGAACCCCCGGCCCATAGACTCCTACTTCTCCTACACAAGTCCGTTGGGCTCAGGGAACAACTCAGGCCCAAATACAACGGCCCAAGCCTCAAAGTAGCCCAGAATACACGCTGGGGTGCCTTCGGCCTCCTTGGCCGAAGGCTCCAAAAATCACAGAATAGCCTTCTCTGGCATAAAAAGCTACTGAGAGAAAACGGCAAAAAACATGAGCCTTCGGCATTTTCATGCCCTCGGCTACACAAGGAGCCCTCGGCTACACAGGGAGCCCTCGGCTACACCAGGAGCCTTCGGCCGAACTGGCTCAATCGTCGAAGATTCCTTTTGGAGACAGCCAACCACCGCATTTAATGCCACGTCACATCCACCAGCCGCATTCAATGCGGTAAACGTACCACTGCCGGTGCCAACCGGTTGATGTGACCCTTCGGCCGTTGGATTATTGACACGTGTCCCCTCATCGCATTTATTGCTGCTATAAATAGCGGCCCATTTCTCCTTGTAATGGACATGATCTACATCCCAACTCCACATCTCGAGTTCATTTAATAAAATCGACTCTCTCTCCTCCTAGTTTGCTCTGGCTTCTCTCTAGTTATTCCCACAATAACCCCTCGGATAAGATACCCCCCGGGTAGACTGTCCATCATTTGGTGCTCTCGTTGAGAGGTCTGAACAATCAAGTAAGAAACCCTCCCCTTCACCAAACAAAAAACACCTACCAAAAATGGGAAGAACCACTCGTGCCCAATCCAAAACCCTTGAGGAGAACCACGTAGCCCCCGGCGAAACCAACGGGGCTGAGGCCTCCAACAGGCTCTTGGTACCCGAGGGTGGTATCATCCTCGAGTTGGAGCAGGCTACTGCTGACCTCCGACAGCAGCTACAGAAGGGGGCCCCTGATGCCCGCATTGGCCTTGATAATCGAAGGAAGGATCGGAGTGAGAACCAAGTTCCCCCTCCGGCCCCGGCCATCGATCTTCAGGCTGCCTTTGCGGCCTTTGTTCAGAACATGGCTCTCAATTCTGGAGCCCTCGCCTCTCAGGCACCCATCCAGCCCTACGCTGGAGGGAACGTTATTCAGTTACCACCGCTCCCCCCTCTGTTCAACAATCCTCCCCCGGGGATTGGGAACGCCGAAGGGGTCATGGCGCAGGACACCGCCTCCCAAGAGGCCCAATCCAGGGATAAACGTCCCTTGATGAAAGAGAAACCCCGGACCTCTGCACTTGAGAGGCTTGGGGGAGCTCCCATACGCCGAGGGATCCAAGACCGCCTCGGCAAACAGGAATTCAGCAGGCCTCAGGAGAGTGGGGCCTCCGTTTCGGGAGCCGAGGGCATACCTCCACCTCGGAGCAAGGGCAAAGCCCTCCTCCATGCCAATGACGCCAGGCACCAAATCAATCAGGCGCAATCCTTCCGGGCCAACTCCCAAGGGGTGGCCCCGAAGGATCCCAAGGACGAAATCATCGAAGCCCTCCTCCGTCAACTTGAGGAGAATCGTCAGGCTCCCCCGACGGCTTCCACAGCAAGGCCAGACCCAGAGTACGCTGACCTCCGGGCGCAAGTGGAGGAAATGAAGCGAAAGCTTGCCGAAGGCTCAGGCGAGCCCCTCATTCAGCTCCGCACTAGGACGCCTTTCACCCCAAGGGTGTTGGCGGCCAAAATCCCCCACAAGTACCGGGGGCAACCCATAAAGCCGTATGAGGGGAAGACGGATCCCCAAGAGCACTATAGCCGTTATCAAAACAGCATGATGATGATGGGGGCGTCGGATGAATACTTGTGCCGTTGGTTCCTTTCCACCTTGGAGGGACCAGCGTATGAGTGGTTCAACCGGTTGCCCGAAGGCAGCATCGATTCTTGGCAAGAACTTGCCCACCGCTTCCTCACGCAATTTGCTGGGAGGCATCGCTCAAAGAAGCACTTCTCCCACCTACTGAATGTGAGGCAACAGAAGGAGGAAACCCTTCGGAGTTTCCTGGAACGCTGGAGGCAGGACTCCCTCGAAGTCGAGGGCGCCGATGACAGAACCCTGATGGCCCTCTTCCACACCGTCCTCCGCAACGGTAACTTCTCCCGGAGCCTCATCACTGATCCCCCCCACGATTATACGAAGGCCCTTCAGCGGGGGGACCGTTATGCTGAAGCAGAGGAAATCGAGAAGGACCGCCGCAACACGGATCCTTCTCAGAAGAATGAGGGCAGGAATCGACCCGGAGGGCCTCCCCCTCCGCCCAACCGAGAAGCTCAATATAATGATCGCCCCCGGGGTGGCCAAGCCAGAACCGGGGGCGGTTACAAAAACAATCCGAAGGCATGGGCACAACCCGTCCTCCTTGAGCACCCACGCACTCCCTTGACGCATCCCGTCAGCGTCATTCTCGACCATGCAGAAGAGCGGGGGCTTGTGGAGCGAGACTCCCGGACACCCCTCGAGATTTATGCCATCGGTCCTGATGAGCCCTATTGCCGCTTTCACCGTCACCATGGACACAAGACCGACGACTGCCATCAGCTGAAGAACGCCATCGAGAGGCTGATACAGGCGGGCCACTTATCTCAGTTTATCAGGGGCCCTCCTCCCCAGGGCCCCCCTCATCATCAAGGGCCTCCGCCGAAGGCAAACAAATGGGTGAACCCCAACACCATCCCCTTGGGGAACCCACAGGGGAAGAAGCGAGAAATTGGGGGCCTCGACGACGAGGGAGAGGGCTCCCATCAACAATACAAGCGCCATATTCATATGATCAACGGCGGCAACACCGGAGGCGATTCAACGAGCCAAAGGAAGAAGTGGGCACAGTCCCTCTACATTGGGGAGGTCAATCACATGCCCCCTACTAAAAGGCCGAGGGCGGATCCCATCTTCTTCACAGATGCGGACCTCCCCTCGGGCTCCCTGCCGCATAGGGATGCCCTCGTCATCCGCACTGAGATCAATGACGCCATCATCCACCGGACTTACGTCGACACGGGGAGTTCTGTCAACGTCATGTACCTCAGCACTTTTCAAGAGCTGGGACTCGACAGGGGGTCCCTTCGGCACATCAACACCCCCCTCTCCGGATTCACGGGAGACAGCATCGACGCCGAGGGCGTCATCACACTCATGGTCGAATTCGGCGACGGATCCCACAGAGCCAAGCTCGAAGTGGAGTTCGTCGTCGTCAACCTCGACTGCGCACATAACATCATCCTCGGCCGACCTGCCCTCGAAGATTTGGAGGCCGTCATCTCCATGAGGCACCTCTGCCTCAAATTCCCCACACCCACCGGCATCGGCTATTCGAGGGGGAATCAGAAACTCTCCAGGGCCTGCTACCTTCAACTTACCAAGAAGGTTAGTAAAACAGAGTTTCGTGTGGACACCATCACCACCAAGGCCTTGGAGGAGGAAGAAGGTAGGCCGAGGGCTGAGCCTGCCGAGGAGACCGAAGACTTGATACTCGATCCGGCCAAGCCGGAGAGAGTCCTGAAGATTGGAGCCAAGCTCCCCGAAGACTTGAAGGCTGGCATCGCCAAAGCCCTCCGCGCCTACTCCGTTGTTTTTGCATGGGGGCCGGAGGATATGCCAGGAATTGACCGAAGGGTCATCACCCACCGCCTAGCGGTGGACCCTTCGGCCAAACCAGTGCAACAGCGGAGAAGACCCCTCTCGGCCGAGAGGAGGGAGTTCGTGAAGAAGGAGGTGGCCATGCTCCTCTCCATCAAACATATCAAGGAGGTGAAATACCCCACTTGGTTAGCAAATGTAGTCCTTGCACAGAAGCCTCCTACCTTCCGCATGTGCGTGGACTACACTGATCTGAATAAGGCGTGCCCTATGGACCCCTTCCCTCTGCCAAACATTGATCAACTGGTGGATGAGACCGCGGGATGCGAGATCATGTCATTCCTCGACGCGTTCCGCGGATATCACCAAATCTACATGCATGAGGAAGACGCTGAAAAAACCGCCTTCATGACACCCGAAGGCATCTTCTGCTATCTTGTGATGGCCTTCGGCCTAAAAAATTCAGGCGCCACCTACACCCGAATGGTGGCCAGGGTCTTTCAAGCTGTCCTCGGACGCACCATGGAGGCCTATGTTGACGATATGATTGTCAAGAGCAAGAAGGCCGGCACTCACGCCGAGGACCTCCAGGAAATCTTCGCCATCATGCAAAAATTCAACCTCCGATTGAATCCAAAGAAATGCACCTTCGGCGTACAAGGTGGAAAATTCTTGGGCTATATGGTAAGCCGAAGGGGTATCGAGGCCAACCCCGAGAAAATTCAGGCCATCATCAATATGGAGCCTCCGCGCAACGTCAAAGAAGTTCAACGGTTGACGGGTCGCCTGGCGGCCCTCAACCGATTCCTCTCTAAGTCAGCCGAGAGGGCCCTCCCATTCTTCCAAATCATGAGGAAGACAGCTGGCTTCCAATGGACATCTGAGTGTCAGGAGGCCTTCGACGAACTTAAGAAGTACCTCTCTTCTCCCCCGGTGCTCTCCAAACCGAAGGTGGGGGAGACCTTATACTTGTATCTCGGTGTTAGCCCTGCGGCAATCAGCTCAGTACTAATCCGGGAGGAAGGCGGCGTCCAACATGCCATCTTCTACGTCAGCAAAACCCTCCGGGAGGCCGAACTCAGGTATTCTCCC